GTATAAGGGCCTGGCAAGCAGCTATAGGAGGCCCGTAATCTGCCAGCCACCTTCTATGTCAAAAAAATTGACACACCAGCAGTGTGAGGAGACCTGAAAGTGGGACACTGGCATGAGAACACTGTGGGACCTAGGCAAGCAGCGATGAGGAGTGCGGGTACAGGGGCCCATGGCAGATTATGGGCCTGGCAGCAGCTATGGGAGGCCAGTAATCTGCCAGACACCCTCCTTTATGATCAAAAAATTGAAACAACTCAGCAGTAGTTTTGAGGAGACCTGGAATAGAGGACCACCATGGCAGGAGTGTGGCGATGGGACGACAGCAGCAATGGTGAGGCCGTAACAGGGGACCAATGAGAGGACTTGGGACCTATCGGCACGGCAGATTTGAGGATGCGGTAAAAGGGGGCCCTATGCAGATTAGTGGGCCTGGCAGCAGTATAGGAGGCCCGTAATCTGCCATGCCCCTATGTCAAAAAATTGAAAACCACCAGCAGTGTGAGGAGACCTGAAAGTGGCACATGGCATCGACGAACACTGTGGACTAGGCAGCAGCATTATGAGGAGGCAGGTACAGGGTGCCCATGGCAGTATTAGGGCCTTGGGGCCAGCAGCTATGGGAGGCCCCGTCATCTGCCAGCACCCTATGACAATAAACTGGAAACACAACCAGCAGTGTGAGGAGAACCTGAATAGTGGCACGATGCAGCTGAGATGTGGCGATGCGAGGACCAGCAGCAAATGGGATTGGCCCGAACAGGGACCCATGAGACACTAATGGAACCTGAGCATCAGCAGCATGAGGACGGCGGTATAGGGGCACATGGCAGATTAGGGGCCTAGTCAGCAGCTATGGGAGGGCCCGATAATCTGCCAGCACCCTATGACAAAAAAATCGGAAACACACCAGCAGAGTGAGGAAACCTGAAAGTGGCACCTGGCAGAGTGTGGCGATTGGAGACAGCAGCAATGGGAGGACACGTTACAGGGACCCCATTGAGAGGGACCACTCTTGACTTTGGCAGCAGCATTGAGGGAGTGCGCTATAGGGGCCCATGGCCAGGATGTAGGGGCCTGGCAGCAGCTATCTGTTTTATATATGGAGGCCGCGTAAATACTGGCCAGACCCGTATCGACAAAAAAATGGAACACACCAGCAGATGTGAGGAGACCTGAAAGTGAGCACATGGCAGAGTTATTGTGGCGATGAGAGACAGCAGCAATGGACAGGCCCGTACACGGACACATGGAGACACTCTGCGACCTGGCTAGCAGCATGAGGAGGCGGTATAGGGGCCCATGGCAGATTAGGGGTCCTGGCAGGCCGCTATGGGAGGCTCGTCATCTGCCAGCACCCTATGACAATAAATGGAAACACACCAGCAGTGTGAGGAGAACCTGAAAAGTGGCACATGGCTGAGTGCTGCGCGATGGACGAACAGGCAGCAAATGGTGGAGGCCGTACAGGGATCCCAATGAGACACTCTGGACTGGCGCAGCAGCATAAGGATAGGCGCTTATAGGCGGCCCAATGGCTAGATTAGGGGCCTGGCAAGCAGCTATGGGTGGGCCCGTAAATCTGCCAGCACCCGATGTCAAAAAATTGAACACACCAGCAGTGTGTTGAGGAGACCTGAAAGTGGGCACTATCGGCAGAGTGTCGGCGCATGGAGACAGCAGCACAATGGCGAGGGCTGTACAGGCGACCATGAGAGGACTCCTGGACTGGCCAGCAGATGAAGGAGGCGGGGTATAGGGGGCCTGGCAGCAAGTTTAGGAGGCACGTAATCTGACCAAGCACCCTATCGTCAAAAAATTGAACACACCAGACAGGTGATTGTGAGGAGACTCATGAAAAAGTGGGGTAACATGGCATGAGAACTCTGTGGACCTATGGCAGCAGCTAGATGAGGAGGCGGGTACAGCGGGCCATGGCAGATTAGGGCCTGGCCAGCAGCATATTGGCGGAGCACCCGTTAATCTGCCTAGCACCCTATGTCAAAAATTGAACACACCAGCTCGTGTTTGAGGAGACCTGAAAGTGGCAGCTTGGCAGAGTGTGGCGATGGAGACAGCAGCAATGGCGAGTCCGATACAGGGACCCATGAGAGACTCTGGACATGGCTAGCAGCATGGGAGGGGCGTAAAAAAAGGGCCCATGGACAGACATTATGGGGCCCTGGCAGCAGCTATAGGAGGCCCGTAATCTGCCAGCACCTATAGTCAAAAAATTGAATAACACCCAGGCAGTGTGAGGAGGACCTGAAAGTGGCACATGGCATTGGAGGACACTGTGGACTGGCATGCAGCTATGGAGGAGTTTAGGCGGTTACAGGGGCCCATGGCAGATTAGGGAGCCTGGCGAGCAGCTTATGGGAGGCCCGTATTATATGCCAGCAACTATGACAAAAACTGGGAACAACACCAGCAGTGTGAGGAAGGACCAGAATGTGGCTCATGGCAAGAGTGTGTCGATGGAGACAGCAGACAATGAGAGGCCGTACAGGGGGGACCCATGAGGGGACACTACTGGAGCCTGGCAGCAGATAAATGAGGAGGCGGTTATAGGGGCCCATGGCAGATTAGGGGGTCTCGGCAGCAGCTATGGGAGCAGGACCGTAATCATGCCAGCACCCCTATGACAAAAAATGGACACACACAGCAGTGTGAGCGGAAAACCTGAAAGTGGCACATGGCAGAGGTGTGCGATGGAGGAGAAGCAGCAATGGGGAGGGAGTACTAGGGACCCATGACGGGACACTCTGGACCTTGGCAGCAGCATTGAGGAGGCGCTATAGGGGCCCATGGCAGATTAGGGGCCTTGGCGAGCAGCTATGGGAGGACTCCGTAAATTCTGCCAGCACCCTATGTCAAAACAATAGAACACACCAGCAGTTGTGTGAGGAGACCCTGAAAGTGGCACATGGCCGAGATGTGGCGATGGAGATGCCAGCAATGGGAGGCCATACAGTGACCCGATGAGAGACTCTCGCGACCTGGCAGACGAGATGAGGGAGGCGGTATAGGGGGCCCATGGCACGATTAGGGGCCTGGCGAGCAGCTATAGGCGGACCGCGTAAATATGCCAGACACCTATGTCAAAAAATTGAACACACCTAGCAGAGTGAGGAGAGACCTGAAAGTGGCATCATGGATTGAGACACTGTGTGGACCTTGGTCTGCAGCATGACGGAGGCGGTACAGGGGCCCATGGGCAGATTAGTGGGCCTGGCAGCAGCTATAGGATGGCCCGTTTAATCTGCAGCACCCTATGACAACAATGGAACACACCAGCAGTGTGAAGGAGACCTGAATGTGGCACATGGCAGAGTGTGTGGCGATGGAGACCAGCAGCAATGGGAGGCCGTTACAGGGACCCATGAGCACACTGTGGACCTGGCAGCAGCAGCTTTGAGGAGCGCGGTACAGGGGCCCATGGCAGTATTAGGGCCTGGCAGCAGCAATGGGAGGCCGTAATCTGACAGCACCCTATGACAAATAGAATTAGGAACACACAGCAGCGTGATTTTTTTTTGTGAGGTGGACCTGAAAGTGGCACATGGCAGAGTGCTGCTGGCGATGGACGACAGCAGCAATGGAGAGGGCCAGTTACAGGGACCCATGAGAGGACTCTGGACTGGCCAGCATAGCATGAGGAGGATAGGTACAGGGGCCCATGGCAGGAATTAGGGGACCTGGCGAGCAGCAATGGCGAAAGGTCCGTAATCTGCCAGCACCTTCATGACAAAAAACATGGAACACACCAGCCAGGTTAGTGTGAGAGAGACCTGAAAGTGGCACTATGGCAAGCTTTCAGAGTGTGGCGATGGAGACAGCCAGCAATGGGAGGCGGATTTCAGGGACCAACGAGACACTGTGGACCTGGCAGCCAGCATGAGGAGGCAGGTTACATGAGGCCCATGGCAGGATTAAGGCATGGCAAGCAGCAATTGGCGAAAGCCCGGGATGGCGACGCTGCATATGCTGATGCAACGCATGTTAGTCCCAACCTGGGCCCCTCGGTCACACTTGACCTTTATGGCCACATAGTCGTACCATACGGCTACGTTTACTTCCTCGGGCGCTCTAGACCGAAAAAAATTGCCACACCGCCGAGTAGGTAACTTTGCCCCCGCTAACTCCTCACTGGGCTGCGACTGCTACTTCCTCCGTGCACACTGGCACCCACTTCTGGGCCGTGGATGGCTAGGCCTGCAGTGGCAGCATGGTGGCTCTACTCCGTGGCCGTTTGCCTCCACTGGACACTGCTGCCGACCCTGCTTCACTCTGGCAGCAGCAATCGGCGAGGCCGTTTACAGGGGGACCCATGACACATCTTCGGACCTATCGGCAGCAGAATTGAAGAAGGCTGGGGTACAGGGGCCCCAATGGCAAGATTTACGGGCCCTCGGCTTAGCACGCAATGGAGGCCCGTAATCTGCCAGCACCTCTATGACAAAAAAATGGAACACACCTCAGCAGAGTGTCAGAGGAGACATGAAAAGTGGTCACATGGCAGAGTTGTGGCGATGCGAGACAGCAGCAATGGGATGGCCGTACAGGGACCCATGAGAGACTCTGTGACTCTAGGACAGAAGCATTGAGGAGGCGGCGTGGTAGGCTATAGGGGGCACCATAGCAGATTAGGGGCCTGCAGCAGAGCTATAGGAGGCCCGTTATCTGCCAGCACCCTATGTCAAAAAAAATTTGAACACCCACCAGCAGTGTGAGGAGACCATGAAGTTGGATCATGGTAAGAGACACTGTGAGCCCTCGGCTAGCAGGCTATGAGGTGGCGGTTACAGGGGCCATGGTAGCAGATTAGGGGCCTGTGCTGCTGCTATAGGAGGGCCCGTTTAATCTTGCCATCAACATCATGACCAAAAAATGGAAACACACCAGTCAGCTAGTGAGGATGACCTGAAAGTGGCACATGGCAGAGTGTGGCGATGGCAGACACGCAGCAATGGGAGGCCCGTTTAACAGGGACCCATGAGGACCACTGTGGACCTGGCAGCAGCATGGGAGGCGGCTGTTACAGGGGCCATGGCAGATTTAGGGGCCCTGGCAGCAGCTTTATGGGAGGCCCGTAAATCTGCCAGCACCCTATGATCAAAAAAATTGAAACACACCAGCAGAGAGTGAGGAGGACTGAAAGTGGCACATGGCGAGACAGATGTGGCGCATGGAGGACAGCAAGCATATGAGGATGGCGTACAGGGACCATGAGGCAGGACTCTGGAGAATTTGCAGCAGCATGAGGAGGTTCGGCGTGTATAGGGGCCCATGGCAGCAGATTAGGGGCCTGGCAGGCAGGCTATGGGACGAAGGCCTGTAATATGCCAGCACCCTATGACTCAAAAATGGAACACACCAGCAGTGTGAGGAGACCTGAAGTTGGACCATTGCAGCTAGTGTGGCGATGGAGACCAGCACGCAATGGGGTAAGGCAGTACAGGGACCATGAGACACTTGCTGGGACCGTTGGCAGCAGCATGTAGATGAGGAGACGCTTTAAAAAGGGGGCCCAATGGCAGGAATTTTGGGGCCTCGACAGCAGGCTATGGGAGGCCCGTAATCTGCACAGCACCCTATGTCAAAAAAATTTGAACACACACGACCGCAGCAGTGTTGTGAGTGAGACCTGAAAGCTGGCACATGGGCAGATGTGTGTGGTGTGTGGCGATGGAGACAGCAAGCAGCTATGGGAGGATCAGTACAGGGGACCCATGAGAGCACTCTGGAACTTGTGCAGCAGCAATGAGGAGGCTCGGTATCTTATAGGGGCCCATGGCAGATTAGGGTCGGGGAGAGCCTGGCAGCAGCATATAGGCAGGCCCGTATATCTGCCAGAACCCTAGTGTCTTTATGATATAAATTGAACACACCAGGCAGTTATGGTGCGGGATGACTGACAGTGGCACATGGCCAGAGAAGTTGTGGCGATGCGAGACACAGCTGGCAATGGGGAGGGCCGTACAGCGGACCATTGAGAGACTCCTGCGGACTTTGCAGCAAGCTATGAGGAGGCGGTTATAGGGGCCCATGGCAGATTAGGCGGCCTTGGCTGCAGCTATTGGGAGGACCCATAATCTGCCAGCACCCCTATGTACAAAATAATGGAACACTACTCAGCAGTGTGAGGAGAATAGCTGAAAGTGGCGCACATGTGCATGAGACACTGTGGACATTGGGCCAGCAGCATGCGGATTGGCGGATACAGGGGCCCATGGCAGATATATGGGCCTAGGCCTGCAGCTATGGGCTAGGCCCGTAATCTGCCAGCACACTATGACCAAGAAAATGGAACACACAACCAGCAGTGTGTGAGGAGACCTGAATAGTGGCACATGGCAGAGTGTGGCGCGATGGAGACAGCAGCAATGGGAGACCTGTTTTGCTCGCTCGCCATGAGCTGCCACCCTCTTCTCAGCAGAGTGATGCTGGGAGAGCAATAGCCTGAGTGGACGACGAATGCAGCTGATGGGGTCAAGTTGCGTGTCAGGCCTGGTGCATCCTTCAAAATCAATTAGGGTCCAGCTGAGTGCCTCACTACTAGACCCCCTGTGGCACATGCGAGTGTGGGTCGATGGAGACAGACCTGTCCGTAGACCGGCTACCATGAGCCACTCTCCTCGCCACTACTTCTTCGCCTGGCTGCCATGAAGAGGCGGTGATGTCTCCCAGGGAATGACCGCCCTTGTTAGCTCTTCCTTGCAGTAGTACTGGATTGCTATACCTCGGATTGGCAGGGATCTGCCAAAGTAGGCCTCAAGCTGTTGAAAAAAAATTGCTTGCCTCGACCAGCTGTCCACTGCTGACGACCGAAAGTGGTCATGGCTGGTTAGTAGTTGCCTCCTCTGGTGACCACTCACGCTAGCATGTTGTCTGCGTATACAGGGATGAGGAGACGTGCTGGTCTGTGTCAGCATGCTTCATGACCACCTCGGTATCTGTGTCTGTCAATGGAGGGAGACACACATTCGCACGGGCCGCTGAGCAGCAGTTCTCGGGAGGCCTGGCAATCTTGGCAGCACCTTTGGCCCTCAGTAACAATCTGTGACTACTCGCGTAAGTGGTTTTTATAGTACCTTGAATTTGGCACATGGCAGATCCTCTGAGCAGGGTCGGAGTAAAGGCTCATTCTGTGGAACGGCCGTACAGGGAACCATGGACACTCTGGACCTGCAAGCAGCAAGGATCCTGCGCTGTGGGGCCCATTGTGCAGAATTAGGGGCTGTTTTGCAAGCTATGGTAGGCATTTGTACGGGCAATTTGCTGTGCCCTCTATGTCAATAAAATGGACACCCAGCGAGTAACATGCTGCTGTCCAGACTGAGTATGCACATGTGCTGTGTGTGGTCGATGCGTAGACAAATCTCAGTCTACCTACTAGTAACGATGTTCTGATTGCCAGGCTGTAACGTTTTCTGAGTAGGACCCTATGTAAAACGATTCTCCCTCAGTAATAATTTCTGCCAGCAGCATGACCTCACATTCTAGGGTCCCATGGTACAATTTTGTCTTCTGCACTCTGGCAGTATGATGGGTCTGTATCTGGAGTGCCCGTCTTAGCCGCTGACCCTATGACAAATGCCTCTGTGAACAAACCAGCAGTGCACTGAGGCAAGACGTGTAATCATGTGGCAACATGGCATGAGTAACTGTGGCATCCCTCCAGAGCAGCATGAGGAGTAACCACATGAAATTGTGTGCCTCATGGGAGATTAAGTCTACAAGGGGGCCTGGCAGCTGCTTGTACATCAGGCCGTATGGTTAGATCTGCACCCATCGAGTTGTTCAAAAATGGAAACCACTCTGTCAGTGTGTGAGTTAACTAATCTGTGAACCGTGAGCACTTGTCTGTGGAATGGCGATCTGTGAAGAGCTCCAAGGCGACTGAGCTTTGATCGGCTAGCCTCAGCTAGGACACCAAATGACTGAAGTCCCTAGTGACAATTATGGTGTCAATAGTGCAGATGACGGTAACGATTCTGCAAAGTTGCGTCAGCCTGATATGAACAATTCGTGGCGTCCCTGCAGTCACATTAGTTCTATGTCCCTCACGTGGCACACTTCTAGTGTTCAGCGCTGACAGTACCTGTTCTAGACCGTCTCTAACGTAACAATTCTGTGTCGCTCGACTATCAGTCTTCGCCTGCGATACCGCTCTAGAGTGCATTCTGTGTCTGATAACAATTCCTGACCGCCTCTGAGTAAACTCTTCCTCACGTGTACTGTGACGACTCAGAGTATGCATTCTGCGCTCTGATCACCTGCGATACAATTCGGTGCTGCCTAAGGATTGGACGGGTTTCTGTGCTGCAAGCGTTACTGCTCGCTCTAAGTAACGTTGCCTCCTGATGCCACTCCTCTGCATGATTGATTCTGTGGACTCTTTTAGGGTGGAACATATGGGTGTCCCTGAGTAACAATTCAGTGTCTGTCCAGAGTAAACAATTCTGTGTCACTGTACACCTAGAGTAACAAAGACTGTGTTCTGTCCCTACGTTAACAGTTCTGTGTCCCTCTGAAGTAACTTGCTGGTGTCCCTCTGTAACGTAGGCTGTGATGCCTCTGCAGTAACAATTCTGTCGTCCCTGAGTAACAATTATGTGTATGCCCCTGGCAGTAACAATTCTGTGTCCCTCAGTAACAATTTCTGTGTCTCTCCACTCGAGTAAACAATTCTGTGTCTGAGTCCCCACTTGTGTAACAATTCTGTGTCTGTCTGCCTGCAGTAACAATTTGGTGGTCCACTTCAGTAACAATTCTGTGTACATACAGTAACGTTTCTGTGTCCTACGTGTAACAAGTTGCTGTGTCTGAATCCCTCGAGTAACGAATTCTGTGTCTGTCCTGAAGTAACGATGTTGAAATCTGTCGCTCGGGACCTGAGTAACAATTCTGTGTCGACCAACTCAGTAACAGTTTCTGTGTCCCTGAGTAACAATTCTGTGTCTGCAAGAGGCCCTATAGTAAGAATCGTGTCTGTGCCCAATTAACGTTTATGGTGTCCCTGGAGTAACGTTTCTGTGGCACTAAGCGAACCGGTTCTCTGTGTGTCCCTCCAGTCAAAAAAAAAAACCATTTCTGTGTTCCTCTTCCAGGTACACAATTCCTTTGTGTCTGGTACCCTGAGTAACAATTCCTGTGGCCCTGTGCAGTAAAGCATTTCTGTGGCCACTGAGTAGTTTCGTTTCTGTGGGTCCCTAAGTAACAGTTATCTGTGGCCTGCACAAGTAACAGCATATCGCACAGAGTCCCTAAGTAACAATTCTGTGTCTAGTCCCTGAGTAACAATTCTGTTTCTGTGGCCCTAGGAGTAACGGTGTCTGGAAGGTCCCTGGAGTAACGTGCTTCTGTGCGTTTGGTCATGAAGCTGCGACACTGTTCGTTCTGTGTCAACTCAGTAACAATTCTGTGGCCCTCAGTAACAATTCTGTGTTGTCCTACGTGGGGAAGAGTAACAATTCTGTGTGCCCGTGAGTAACGTTTCTGTGTCTGGTCCCTGAGTAAGAATAGCCTGTGTCTGTCGTGGTGTAACAGAAGACTGTGGCACTTAAGTACGGTTTCTGTGAGCCCTTTCTGAGTAACGTTTCTGTGGCCCTCCGAGTAACCAAATCTGTGCTCCGTCAGTAAACAATTCATGTTAGTGCTTTCACTGAAGTAACGATTCTGTGGCCCTAGAGTAACATGCGTGCTTCTGTGTGTCCCTCAGGGAACTAACGGTTCTGTGGCAGGCTGAGTAAACCATTTCTGGGTCTGTCCTTGAGTAACAGTTCTGTGGCTGTCCGCTAAAAGTAACAATTCTGTGTCCCTGCGTAAGTTTACTGTGGCAGAACTCAGCTCTTAAGTAAACAGTTCTGTGGGCCCTCAAGTAACAATGGGGCTGTGGCCGCTCAGTAACGTTTTGTGGCCCTCAGTAACAATTCTGTGTCCTCAATGTAAACAATTCTGTGATCTGTCCCTAGGTGATATTTCTGTGGCCGAGGAAGAGTAGCACACAATCTGTGTCCTCAGT